CGATTTTGTGTGGGCGAATATAAGAACTGCCTACACGTGTGATAGGAGGAGCATCCTACCGCACGACTCCTACGGTACAAATGGGATCGATCTCAAGTACGAATTCGTTTGACAGGGGAACCCACACCGCACACGCCTCCATCAGACCAGATTCCTTTTCCCAGTGGAAAAAGGGGGAAAAGCCCACTAACAACAAATTAAATGAAAAGGCCCAGTTTTTGGTTTTTTCTGTACAAATAAAGGCCCAGATTTTGCTCGGATACTAAAAAATGCCATCAACTGCTTTGAAAATAGCAGAAAATGTCATTCGAGTTTAACCATGAACAAAGGTTTATATTTGTTTTGTAACGATGGCAAAGGTTTATGAACACATATAATGCCCAAAATGAAATATGGCAAATCTGCCATGACAACAAAAATCAATATTGCCATGTGAAAAAACGCAAAAAGTTGAAAAATTCATGTGAAAAGAACACACAAATTTGACAAGGCAATAAAAGATAAAAATGCAATTGCATTTTTAATTAAAAATGCCATGAAAGTTTAATCAAAATTGCCATGTTTGGAAGGAGAATTTTGCCGTGTGTGAGAAAAAACACAAAATGTTGAAAATCAAGTATGAACAAAGAGATTTGCCATGGCAGATTGGTATCAAAGAGTTGCCGTGTTTTGTATGATGAATTTAATGTGTGTTGAAAAACACAAAAGGTTTGGAATTCACCTATGAACAAGAAACGTGTCATGGCAAATTCGTATCAAAACTTGCCACGACGAAATTCATGTAAACTAAATTTGCCATGAACAAGAAACATTGCCATGGCAGATTCATATTGAAACTTGCCATGGCAGAAAAAATCATTTAAACTAAATTGCCATGATCACTAAACTAAATTTGCCATGAATTGTAAACTAAATTTGCCATGAACCAAAAACTAAATTTGCCATGAACCAACAAACTAAATTTTGCCATGATCAATAAACCAAATTTGTATCAAAACTAGGCACGGCAGACTTATATCAATAATTGCCATGTTCTGGTATGATGAATTTGCCACGTGTGTAAAAAACAGAAAAGTTAAAAAATTATAAATATGAACAGGAAAATTGGCACGGCAGAAATTCACGTAAACTAATTTTGCCATTACCAAGAAAAATTGCCATGGCAGATTCATATTGAAACTTGCCATGACAGAAAAAATCATGTAAACTAAATTGCCGTGATTTGAAACGTATCAAAACTTGGCATGGCAGATTTGTATCAAGAATTGCCATGTTTTGGTATGATGAATTTGCCGCGTGTGTAAAAAACACAAAAGGTTGAAAATCAAAAAATATGGACGAGAAAATTGCCATGGCAAATTCGTATCAAGAATTGCCGCTTGTTTGTATGATGAATTTGCCGTGTGTGAAAAAAACACAAAAAGTTGAAAGTCCCGTATAAACAAGAAAAATGCCATGGTAGATTCGTATCAAAACTTGCCACGGCGAAATTCACGTAAACTAAAATTTACCACGATTTGAAATTCGCCATGACTAGTAAACTAAATTTGCCATGAACCAAATAAACAAAATTTGACATGATCAAATAAAATCAGTTTGCCATGATCAATAAACTAATTTTGCCATAGCCAACAAACTAAATTTGCCATCATCAACAAACTAAAAATGTCGTGGTTAACTAAGAAACAAAAGCATAAAGATTGTCATGGGCGTGTTAAAAAAACTAAATTTACCATGACTAGTAAACTGAATTTGCCATGAACCAAATAAACTAAATTTGACATGAGCAAATAAAATCAGTTTGCCATGATCAATAAACTAAATTTGCCTTGGTCAATAAACTAAATTTGCCATTATCAATAAACTAAATTTGCCGTGGTTAAGTAAGAAACAAAAGCATAAACATTGTCGTGGGCGTGTTAAAAAAATGAAATTTGCCATGACTAGTAAACTAAATTCGACATGAACCAAATAAACTAAATTTGTCATGAACCAAATAAACTAAATTTGACATGATCAGATAAAATCAGTTTGCCATGATCAATAAACTAAATTTGCCATGGTCAATAAACTAAAATTTCCATGGTGTTTTGCTTATAAATAGAAATATACGTTATAGAATTGCCATCGATAAAAGTTTAACAGCTGCCATGATTTCTGACCTCAATCTAACCACATGTATACTGTAGATAACAACACCAGATAATTAACAGCCCTGTGACCTAGGGTACTACTACAGGTACACATGTTTAAGCTATATGACCAACTTAAAATGCCATGGGTGTTAAATTTGCCATGCCTCTGAAATTTACCATGGCATCATCAAAAATTGCCATGACTCTAAAGTTGCCATCACTGCATGCTCGAAAACTGCCCGTGGAAACTACAGACTATCCATCCAATTCTAAACAAAGGCTAAATTATCAGATTGAAAACTGCACTCAGATGATTGATCAAACAAAAAAAATCTCCCTGCTGCCGTGTGCATGAACACACAACACACGAAACTGAGAGAGGGAAAATCAAACCTCCATGGCAACGGGTGCCGGAGGAGCACGGAGCAGGCGGGCCTTCCTGAAGATCACATCGAGCACGCGAATGTCGTCGTGATTGCAGTAGTTGCTGGGCTACCGCGACGCCCTGACGAACAAGCTGTTGCCTCCCACGACCACAAGCCCATCGATGTTGACAACGAACATGGGGTGGCGCTTGCCCACCGGGTCGAGTAGCTCCGGCCCGCGCCTGCACCCACCACGGAGGCCGAGCCCCACCAGGGACACCCGCCGGCCCGCCGCCGTCGTTCCCGGAGCAGGAGTTGGCGAGTAGCGCGGCGGCAGCACGCAGATAGACTGGTGTGCGGCGGAGCTCGAACCCCAGAAGTAGCCGCGCGCGCTCGCCTCCTCCACTTCAGCCATCCGGCCCCCTGGACCTCCCCCTCACAGCCGGGAAAACGACGCAGCTCTCCCTCACCGCCACCCAAGCCGCCATGGGAGAAGAAGGGTCCACCCGGTGCTCACCACCAACGCGCCCCTTCCCGCCCCTCATGCCTGCCACCGCCCATCTCGCCGGCCACCTACTGGTCACCACAAAGATACATATAGAGAGGGGATTACTAGCAGAGGGGGAAGAAGAGGAGCGGCACGGGGCGGTGGGAAGAAACCTGGCTGCGCTAGTCGGCGTTCGCCGGCCACCGGAGGTGTGGGAGAGGCGCCGGGGTCGCTCGGGGGTTGAGCTCCTTGGCGCGTGGCCACCGTCGATGTGGGGGAAAGGCTCCGCCATAGCTGCTCTAGCGAGTGGAGTGGGGGTGGGGGGCCTGAGGCGAGAGGATAAGGTGCGCTGCCACACGCGTTCGGGCGAGGAGTGATTCGCCCGCACAACACCATTTGCTTACGTGGCTTTTGACCCGGATGGCAATTGCTCTAAAATTCGTGCAAACGGATCAAACGGCATCAAGTGCGTGTGGGCGGGTTTCTAAATGCCACACGTGTGGGCGTTTAACATTATTATTTTATCAGTGTGCCATGGGGAGGTTGCTAAACACGCGTTTAGATCAAACACGTTTTAGCAACATATCTGGACCATACAGAGATCGTGGTTAGGATGGTATTTTGAATCTTCGCACTTTTTATTTTTATAGGCGTAGGAGATAGATAGATAGTAGATATGTAGTGTTAAAAAGGGTCTTACAATACAAAAATGCATTCTGGTGGCCGGGCTACCTGAAGGCCGGTATCTGTGTCGTTGCGTGTGTTTACTGATCAGCGCCACGCATGCATGTAGCTGCCGTATTTCAGCGACAAGCCTTTTTTCTAGTACCCTGTATTGATATTAAATCAACAGTGACAGCTCATGTAGTGGACTCCGTACAGTGGAGCGCGCACAGTTGTCATCAAACGGCCACACATGTTCATAGCAAAGTGTCCCAGGTGAGGTACATGGGATTGACTCAATCGTCATGCTCGTGTGTGGAGCAGAGAGCCATTTGAGCCGATCGTTGGGATTTTATGCCACTGCCTATTTATATCTGAGATGCATTGCACATTGCAGGCCAGCCATCCCCAACTCAACACAACTCTAGCTATGTCTTCTTCCTCTTCCTCGGTGCGATCCTGGGCAAGGCAGCAGCAGTGCAGCACCTGCCGCTCATCATGTGCCCAGATTGCGATGAGGTTTGTGTGGAGATCAACATCAATCGATTCCGTAGGTACAAATGAAAGGGTTTTTGTTGCTGAACTTGCACACGTCAAACATCGGACTACGCCCATGAAAATATAACCAAGAAACAACAACAGCAGAATCCAGCGGTTAAATCGCACTCTTGAACACAACACCATGACAACGTCAATGCATTACATGATTTTTTTAAAACAAGTGATGCACAATAGCGACACATACATAGGAACAAGCTCACAACTATGCAAGCACAAGCAGTTCTGAAAATCTTGCATTTGACAAACAGTTGATTATTCAGCTAGCAAACTGAATTTCAAGCATAAGCAGTACTGAAAATCAATCTTGAAAATCTTGCTTGGGTTGGTAGGTGCAAGTGTTCTTCCTGTCACCTTGTAGGTTGCATCTGGAGCATCGAGGCAACCTTCTCGGTGCCTTTGGAAGATCACGTCGTTGCGGACAGGTGATGCTCTTGTGACTTTGATGGCTTGACCCCTGCATATGGAACAAAATCTAGTCCTTTCAGATGGCTGCTCGTGTGGTGCCTTATCGCGGCTTGTGCTAGGCAGTTGGTCTCTTCTTTGAAGGTGCTGCAAAACTATCAGAACCTTCTAATGCACTATGCGCTTGCTTTGCTGGACCAAAATGTTGTTTATTCCCTGTCTCTGAAGCTGCAGAATCAGCTGCCATTTCTCCTCATACCATCGCGTATAGCAGCAACAGGCTCCAGTAATGTTTTCACATCTCTCAGCTGCTCCATAGCAAGACTATATGCATCGACATTGTTGTGGCCTAGCTTGACAATTTCTAGGCACAACAAATGCAGGTTGTTATGTCTCCGTGAAGAGTACTTCAGAGGACCTTGATCCTTCTAGCAGCGCAAAAATTCTGCTGGCAAAATATACCTTGCTTCCCTCGTCCAACGTTTCAAGACATGTTTCCGAGGAACCTCCTGGAATCCAAGTTGGATCATCACCTGCGAAGAAAAATAATGTGCATCACATATAACATTCTTTTCAGCAGGTAAACTGTAAGCTTCCTCAAACGAATCAAAACTCGTCCCCAGTATCTGATTAACAACAGTACCAGTTTTTTTTCTCAGTATAAGCATGTATTGAAACCTCGAGAGCAGGAACCTGCTTGGATTAATTTCCCTCTCATATGCTGCCTTACCGATCCTAGTTCTGCAGTTTATCAACATGTTACACATGCATTCAGTTAATTCCATCGGAAAACGGACCATTTCTGGCTGCACAGTCTAGAAAAAATAGATATTCAAACCACAATCAAACACCATTATGGGCGGCTAACTAAAAATTTCCAAAACAATCTATCATCTACGAGCTAGAAAAATACATTTTTATGAAAAGTTGACAACTTGATTACCTTCGAGTCCAACTGGAGCCATTTGAGTTGGATACGAACATGCCCTCTGCATCTTCCTCCTTTCTGACGGTTGCATCGCTGATATCTTCAGGAGGCATATCGTTTGAATTGGCAACGAACCTCACTAGCATCATTGTATGAGTCAATCTCGTCTCCATCCAGCGCTGCATCCTCAAGGCGCCGCCGCTTGCGGGAGTGCTCTGCATCCCTGACGCCAGCTGTGGGCTCTGAGGAAATGAAATCGGCGTGGTCCGGGCAAGCTTCATGGATTGAAGCAACGACCGATTCCACAGCAGCGATATCTCCCCCTAAAAGATAACCGACATCCACCCTGGGAACCAATCTGCAACGAACCACAGGAAATCATCCTTTTCAGATCTGACACGATGGGGCAGTGGAACCAAAAAACGATAGCTACCGTAGGACATATACTCTAGAACAAACTAGTCTAAATTGAAAGATCAGATGGAGCTTGTCCTGATTCGGCTTCCTCGAAGAACTCCAACCCATCCATGGCGATCTGTCGCAAACCCAGCTGCCGCCATAAGAGGATGAATGGCCTAGCGAGGCAGAAAAGGTGTTCACTCTCGAAGTAAATGGGAAGCTATCTGCAGGTTCACATGGCCCATAGAAACATTATTAATCACCCAACAACCCACCTACTCATGCGACATTTAAAATGGCCCAGGACGTACACGACGTATGTGCAGAAGATACTGAACTGGCCCGTGTACAAATGCATCACTGGATATGATGGCACCGATGTATTTCAACTTAATGGCGACTGTACAAAAAAAACGAAAATAAAGCAGCACACATTATAGCGCGATAAACCACGACCCAGATACCGGCCTTCAGGTAGCTCGGCCACCAAAACGCCTTTCTCCTTACAATATAAGATGAAAGGAGTAGATTAGTAGATAGAAAAGGAAAAATTTTGTTTTTGCCGCTCTAGATTTTGCCAATTTTTCTCATGACATTTTAGATTTTGACATTTCACTTTTGCCACTCTTCATTTTTGACAATTATCACAATTGCCATTCCGGTGGCAAAATCAAAATATTTGGAGTGGCAATTGTGATAATTATCAAAAACTAAGAGTGGCAAAAATAAAATAAAATTATTTTTCTTTTGTCACGGAATGACAATTGTGATAACCGTTAAAAGCTAAGAGTGGCAAAAGTGAAATGTCAAAATACAGAATGGCATAAGAAAAATTGGCAAAATCTAGAGCGGCAAAAACAAAATTTTCCCATAGAAAAAAGACTTAATACAATAGTACTCCATCCGTTCTAAAATAGATGACCCAATTTTATACTATTTTAGTACAAAGTTGAGTCTATTTTGAAATCGGAGCGAATACATTTTACTCTTCTCCGATCATCGGTAGGTCCAAAAAGGTGAGGCGGAAAGCAAACCAAAGCAAACCTCCCCCGACTCCTAAAACCTTAAACCCTAGCTCCGGCCACTCCCCCATGGCGGCCGTCCGGGTCATCCTCCCTCATCCCCACCTCCCCATCCCCTCGTGGAGACCCCAGCTCAAGCCCTCCTCATCCTATCCCCGCCGCGCGGTCGCCGCCCCAGCTTCGCTGTCTCCGTCGCCCCTCACGGCTTCCCTGCAACTCGGAGATGTGATCGAGGCGCAGCAGTTCGATCGGCAGATCCTTAATGAGATCTTTGAGGTGGCGCGGGAGATGGAGGCCGTGGAGTGCGGCTCCCACGGGTTCCGAAGCCGCGTCCTTGAGGGGTACCTCATGGCCACGCTCTTCTACGAGCCCTCCACCCGCACGCGCCTCTCCTTCGAGGCCGCCATGCGCCGTCTTGGCGGTGAGGTGCTCACCACCGAGAACGCTCGCGAGTTCTCGTCCGCTGCCAAGGGCGAGACCCTAGAAGGTGAGTTGCCTAAAAGTATCTTGTCAGGCCTTGCCTTGAGCATTTGTGCTAATTGCTGCCTGGTGACCTTCACGTGGAATGGACAAGCTGAAATTTTAATTCCAATTGTAGTTCTTTTGAGAGTGAATGAGGATGGGTAGTGGTTGGGCGATGGCGGTAGGTGAGGAAATGCAAATTTTGTGGGTTATGGAGGAACATCGGTTTTGATTTTCAAGTGAGATCTTAACTAGGCACTAGTTGTGCAATAACTGCGAGTTGTAGCAAATTATGAAACTTTGAGGACCTGGGGTTTCCTTAGAACCATTGTGAAGATTATTTGAGGAGGTCATCATCACTTCCTTGGATCTGTAAAGTAGAAAATTTTGGGTAGTCTGTATACGACTTAGTGAAACAAACATGGGTTATCTGCCATGTTTGGTGAGGCCATCAAAGAAAAGTCAGCTACTGGAACTAGTTGGCTCTCAACCTTAATTATTTAACAATTGAGAAAATTCTTACATGCTGGTGTGGAGTGAACTATACAGATGGGGGTGGGGGTGGGGGGTGGATGCTTATATAAATTATTATGAACTACAATTGTGACATCCTACTTTAATTATAGATTGGCTACCATGTTCATATAATTGCGTCCATCCAATTCCATTGTTAAAAGATAGGGCCACCCTTACTAGTTTACTTCAATCATTGTGAATTTATTTTTCTTGGATGATATATGAATGTGCAGTTCCTGCTGGTTTTGATGTAGGGACCACACGGTTGATTAATCCTACTTTAGTGATCCACGCTCTTATATTTCTTTACTGAGGGAGTATTATTTAATTTTTAAATAACGTTTCCCAGATTATACCTGTTTTTTTTTTTTGATTCTTAGAGCATCTCCAGCAGCTTCCCTTTCGCCAAAAATTTCATTGTATAGAGGAAGTTGGCACAAAAAACACGCTCCAACAGATTCCCTATTCCCACCAAAAAAACCCCCATCTCTACATAGAGGGGAAGATCCCAATACCTTTTCCAATACATGCCATGTCAGCGGGCCGCTGCCAATCACCGCCGACCACTGCGCCGCTACCGCACGTCGCTGCCGGACTGCTAAACTGCGCCGCCCACCGCCGTGCCGCACCACCACCATGTTAAGAGTAATCCTTGGAGCAGTCAGTCAGTCTTTCCTTAGGTACTATGCTAGCGAGTCAAGACTGTGTCTTAGGCTACAAGTCAGTGGGTTAAGATGTCTTAGGCTGTAAAAGAAAGCCATGGAGGTGGTTCTGTACTAGTTGCTTTCAACTATAAATATGGGGTGAAGCCTAGTCAGCTGCATCCATCTTAGCCCAGAAACCGAGTTCCCAATCAGAATTACCTGTGCTCTTGCTAGTTGCTGCTAACAATTAGCATCAGAGCTGGTTAAGGCGAGGATCCTAAGAGATGTTAGTTTTAGGTCAGGGCGCTGCCCGTAGTCCAACTCCCTAGCCACGGCGCCATTCCCACTCACCACCACCAAGACGACCGCGCCACCGTGATGTTGGAAGGCGCGAGGTTGTCGTTGAGCGTGTCGTTAGGAACTTTGGCAGTGGCAAGTACCCGACGCTGACATGGACGAACTATGCCGAATAGAGCCTTCGCATGAAAGTCATGCTGCAGGCTCGTGGCCTCCGGGAGGCTATCGAGTTTGGCGCTTACGACTTGTTGGAAGGTCGAATGGCGCTGGAGGCCATCTTGCACGCGGTACCGCCAGAGATGATGGCCAACCTGGCTGTCAAGCGGAGTGCACAGGAGGTTTGAGAGGCAGTCCTAGCCATGCGTGTCGGCATGGATCGTGTGCGGAAGGGCAAGGCGCAATAGTCGAGGAAGGAATTTGAGACGATCTCATTCCATGACGGGGAGTCCGTCTTCGACATTGCGCTGCGCCTCACCAACCTCGTCACAAGCCTTGCCACTCTCGTAGAACCGATAGATGAATCTGGAAGTCATCGAGAAATTCTTGTGAGTTGTGTCGCTCAAGTTCTCCTAGCTTGCTCTTTTGATCGAGATCCTCCTCGACATCTTTGAGTTGTCGTTTGAAGAGGTCACTGGTTGGTTGAAGGCGGCGTTGAACCGTCTTGAGTCGCAGGAGCCTCCACATGGGCACGGCAGGCTTCTTCTCACCAAGCAGCAGTGGCTAAGAAGATGAAAGTTCGCCAAGAGAGCAGCTACTCCAGGCCTGCGTGCGGCAGTGTACAACGACGATGGTGACCGCAACGGAAGAAGGGTGGAGAAGGTGGTCATGATCACGCGGCACCCAGGGATGGCGCACACGATGACACATGCCACAATTGTAGGCGTCATGGCTGGGCCAAGGAGTGCAAGCAGCCTAGGAGAAACAGGGCTCTCCTGGCCCAAGCAGAGGAAGATGATGAGCCTGCTCTCGTCACAGCTCAGGTTCGTGCCGCTCCAGCCCTAGCAACAGAGGTGCAGGACAACGTCACTTCAGCCCCAGCCATGGAGGTACAGGACAACATCACTCCACCCCAGCCATGGTGATGCATGACAACATTGTTCTAGCCTCAGCCATAGTGGTGTAGGATAGTACCACTCTAGCTCCAGAGCATGCTCCCCTTCACATCGATGAGCCGAAGGCGAAAGCCTACCTCGGCACAAACAACGATGATGAGCGAATCGAGGGCGGGTACCTGGACAGCGGCGCCACAAACCATGTGACAGGCCATGGCGATGCCTTTGCTGAAATTGACCTAACGGTCACTGGCACTGTCAAATTTGGCAATGGTAAAATCGTCGAAATCAGGGGCATCGGCACCATCATCTTCGCTGGCAAGAACAATGGAACACAAGGCCCTCAGTGGCGTTTACTTCATCCCATGGCTGAAGAACTCGATCAACAACATTGGTCAGCTCGATGAGAGCGATGCATGTGTGCTGACCAGAAGAGATGTGCTTTGAATTTGGGATCAACAAGGTCGACTCCTTGTTTGGGTTAGGCATGGCCAGAATCGCCTTTACCTCCTACATCTTCAGGTAGCCTGCCCAATATGCTTCTCTGCCCGCCACGACGACATGGCTTGGCGGTGGGATGAGAGATATTGACATCTCAATTTTGACGCATTGGAGAAGATGGGACAGCTCACTATGACATGCAGGCTGCCATGGCTGGATCACGGGGAGCAGCTCTGCGACATGGGTGTCATCACCAAGCATCGCTGCATCACATTTCCTCAGCAAGCAAGGTATCACACGCAGGAGCTTCTTGAGCTCGTCCATGGCGACCTTTGCAGTCCTGTTTCGCCGACACCTAGAGGATGGCGCTACTTCTTGCTGCTGGTGGACGGCACCACTCACTACAAGGGGTGATGCTCTTGGCTGCCAAGAATAATGCACCTGATGCCATAAAAGAATTCGAGCAGAAGCAGAAGCTCAGAGTGGATGTAAATTGCGCATGTTCCGCATGGACAATGACGATGATTTTACCACAACGGAGTTTGCTATCTATTGTGTTGTCTATTGTGTTGATGAAGGCATCCAACGCTACTTCTCCGCACCTTGCACCTTACACGCCGCAACAGAATGGTGTTGTCGAGTGGCGGAACTAGAAGGTGGTGGCAATGACATGTGCTCTGCTGAAACAGAGGAGCATGCCAGCTGAATTTTGGGGGGAGGCTGTGAGCATTGCTGTCTTGCTTCTCAATTGTGCTCCCACCAAATTCCTTGCTCGAAAGACGCCCTACGAGGCGTGGCACGGCCGCAAGCCGGCTGTCCGCTACCTTCGCACCTTTGGGTGCTTAGCATAAGTTAAGGAACTGGGGACCTGCGTAAGCTCAATGACCGGAGCTCTCCTACTGTGTTCATTGGCTTTGAGGAGGGTGTGAAAGACCGGCTGCTGGACCCTAATCGGCGTTAGTGTACGCGACGAGCTCGAAGGAGGCGGATGCACGGAGATGAAGGCCAAAGCCCGGCGTGCCGCGGATGTACCGAAGTATTTGTTTGATGAGCGCCCAGTGCACGTCATGAGGTGCATGCATGTGCTGCCAAACCTGCTGCACGGTGTAGCAGATGTCAGAGTGAGATATTATCACACACCGACAATGTTGCGACATTGGCAGCGGGCTTGCTGTCGGCGGCAGACAGCTTGGGCTTGGCCTTGGCCGGCGTGGAGGCCGGTCTGCAGCCGTCATGCCCACATGATCAAGTCATGCCTGCGTGATCAAGCAGGTCGATGGCGTACTCCTCCTGATGGAGGAAGAAGCAGGGGGCGTTGCGGCGGCGGACATTGATGTCGAGGACGAAATGCAGCGCGCCGAGGTCCTTGAATTGGAATTCGACACTCAGCTAGGCGATGACATCATGAAGAAGAGCAGCGTGCGACGCAGTGATGACAATATCATCGACGTACAGGAGGAGGTAGGCCACATGATCTCCGTGATGAAGCATGAACAACAACGTGTTTGATGTTGCGTGGAAGCCAAGTATGCCGAGGAACACAACAATGTGATGGCACCAAGCGCGCGACGCTTGCTTGAGTCTGTAGAGGGAACGAGATAACACACAGACGTCGTCGGGGTGAGCGGCGTCAGCGAAACCGACCGGTTGGCTGTTGACACATAATACACTCCTGTAGGACCGCGTGAATGAAGCGAGTGGAGGCTGACTTGACAACAGGGGAGAAAGTCTCCGAGAAGTCCGCGCTGGCGGGTTGAGCGAACCCGCGCACGATCCACCTCGCTTTATACCTGTTTAGGAACCATGTCCAGGGAACCATCAAGGTGAAACTTCTGACAGAATGCCCACTTCATGGTGACGAGGTTGGCGCCACAGTACCGAGGGACAAGCATCCAAGTCTGGTTGGCGTGCAGGGCGTCGAGCTCCACCTGCATGGCCGTAGTTTAGTGAGGATCACGCAGGGCAACACGAGCCGAGCGGGGAACCGACGAGATCACGCCAGAAGCAAAGGTTGGCGTAGCGACGGTTTGGCAGGAAGATCCCACGTTGGTCGTGCGTCACCATGTTGTGCTTCGGGAGAACCGGACGGTGAGGAGGGTAGCATTGAGGTTAACATACACCATTAACGTTAACAGTCTTAACTAACTGAACCTATTCTAGTTGAGAGGATATACATTGCCAGAGAATTGGGAGGAGGAAATCAGAAATGCGTGTGAGCAGGTGGTGGAGCAACAACAGTGAAGTGCATCCTTCGGTATGTCGCTAGCACCAGCCACCATGGTCTATGCTATAGGCGGAAGACGGGAGAGACGGCTGATTGGTTAAAGCGATAGTGACCTCGCCGGTGAGCACGAGTGGCACGGTGTTCTTGGTAGTAATTCGGTGAGCTGGCAGTCACTCAAGTAACGAGTGGTGGCTCCGACCTCCTGTGAGGCAGAGTATGTGGCTGCCACATCTGCCGCAACACAAGGACTTGGCTGGCCTGGCTGCTTGGTGAACTCCATGGGAGAGAAGTCGAGGCAGTCGGGCTAATGGGGGACAACAAGTCCGCCTTGGCGCTGGCCAAGAACCCGGTCTATCATAACGCAGCAAACATATCGACTTACGGTACCATTTCATCGGGGACTGCTTGGTGAATGGGAGTGTCAACGCCAGCTACATCAACACCACAGACCAACTCGCTGACATTCTAACGAAGACACTAGGGCGGGTGAAATTCCATGAGCTTTGTGCTAGGATTGGGATGATCCAAATCAATTCAAGTCTGCTTTGCAAGGATAGGGGGGAATTGTTAAGAGCAATCCTTGCAGCAGTCAGTCAATGAGTCGAGTCTTTTCCCTAGGTAGTAAGCTAGTGAGTCAAGCCTGTGTTTTAGGCTACAAGTGGGTCAAGTCAAGATGTCTTGGGCTGTAAACTCTGTTTTTAAGGCGCCCCCAGGAGGCAAGGCGTCGGCCTTGCCTTACATGTGTGTCTAAGGCGTCCGCCTTAGTCCTTAAGGCGTCCAAGGCGTCCGCCTAGGCGCCACTCTGCCTGCCTTAGGCAAATAAGGACGCCTTAGATAGAGCTGGGTGGTTTAGGCGGGAAACAGATAACTGGGAGGGAAGGAAAGGGCGGGAAACTTTGTTTTGGCGCCAACAGGTACTAGAGGGAGAGAGAGAGACCTGTAACCATTTTCAGTTTCCCCCCATCCCCAGGCTGGATCTGAGCTTCTCCCCCTCCTCTCTGGCAGCTTCCCCCTCCTCTCCGGCAGATCCCCCTCCCCCTCCTCTCCTGCAGTTCCTCCTCCTCCTCCTGCAGATTCTCCATCCTCTCCTGCAGATTCTCCATCCTCTCCAGAACTATATGGGCTCTACAACCATCAGTTGCAAGGTGTGTATGGCTGTATGCCTAGTTGCCTAATGCCTACCAAATTCTATTTAATTCTGTGGCTTACAAGTCTCTAAGGCGTCGCCTCGCCTTATGCCTTAGCGCTTAGGCAGTGAGGCGCCCCCCCAGCGCCTCGCCTCGCCTTACCGCCTTAAAAACATAGGCTGTAAAAAGCCACTGAGGTGGTTCTGTACTAGTTGCTTTCCCCTATAAATAAGGGGTGAAGCCTAGCTAGCTGCATCCATCGCAGACCAGAAACTGATTCCCAAATCAGAGTCCCTGTGCTCTTGCTAGATGTCTTAGGCTGTAAGAAAGCCACTGAGGTGGTTCTGTACTAGTTGCTTTCCCCTATAAATAAGGGGTGAAGCCTAGCTAGCTGCATCCATCGCAGACCAGAAACTGATTCCCAAATCAGAGTCCCTGTGCTCTTGCTAGTTGGTAATAACACACCATGCCACCGCCACCGCCGCTGCCGCACCATCGCCACCTTGTCGCCCGCACGCCGCCACCCGCCCGCTCTGCCTGCACTGGTCCCCTGCCCCACCGTGCCACCTGTCGCCGGAGCTCTGCTGGTATCTTCCATGCACATGAGAGGGAGAGGGGGAGGGAGGGAGCGAGGGAGAGAGAGGGAGAGGGAGGGGGAGGGAGAGGATCTGCTATAGCAGCACACCTATGAAACCCAATAAATTTAGTGGGAGAGCCCTAATAACCGCTTATTGGGGAAATAGTTTTTGGGTCATCTGCTGGAGATGCTCTTACTTGTACTCCATTCAAAATAATGCGTGTTTTTTTAAACAAACATTATGTCAACCATGTATAACCAATGCAGATACCATAAGAACTGTTGAAGGTTATTCTGATATTATCGTTCTGAGACATTTTGAAAGTGGAGCTGCCAGAAGAGCAGCGGCTACTGCAGAAATTCCGGTTATTAATGCAGGTGATGGGCCAGGGCAACATCCTACTCAGGTAATTATTATGTTGCTAACTCTTCCTGCTCCTTTTATTGGGAAGCACCGAAGCAATGTCCACATTCTTAGAATAAGACAGTTCTTCTAAGAAGGAATTTGCAACTTTTATTTGAGGGTAGGTGCTATAGTGAATGGTCAGTGAACCATGTGATGGCATTCCCTTTTTTGGTAGTATTAGGTGTTGATCAGATATTGTCAATTCATACTATAGGCTGATTTTGGATCCAGTTTCTGTTTTGCCATGCTTTCTTTGTAGAATTGAGTTGATGAATGATGCTTCATGGTAGGGTGATGATGGCAATTTTGTTGACAGTTCTGCAGCCTTTCTTTAATCGTTAGTATAAATGAGCGATACACTTCTGTGTCTGCCTCTAGCACTAGGTTGAGGCTATCCTAGTATTTCCCAATTGGCCATATTATTTGGAAGAATAAAATTATCTATAGTAATGTCGACAAGTCATGGATTATAAACCTTTCTGGAATATGCAATGTGCTGTCCTGTACTTTTGAAGGTTTCTGTGTAAATTGAGCAGAATTTCATTCTGTTGTGTCACCGTACAAATTTCTGCTGTGACAACCCCATCCCCGTTTGTTTCTTTTTATACTGTATTTTTACCAGGATCATTGTTTATAAGGTGGTAAAGAGACCTAAGGCGAGCATCACCTGCTCTGACGCCTAAGGTGCCTAAATTGGGCATATTTCTAAGGTGCTGCCAGAGCGCCTTATCGCTTAAGCAACGCCTAAGCATCTAAAGCAGGACACTTTACAAACAAGGACCAGGAAGTTGATGACCACAATACCCATGTATTCATGTGTTATGATCACGAGAGAGAATAGTTGCTCGTAAATATTGATTTGAGGGGAAAGATAAATTGTGAAAGAAAGAGAGAACATACATTAAACTCGCTTGCACGCCTTATGTACTGAAAGTGTATCTGTACGCCATTCTATATTGAATGGAAGTCAATGGGTTTTCAGCTAATTGTTTCTGCCCATTACCCATTAGTTCGTCCACCACCTCTTTGTCTAATTCATCATGTTGGTAAATATAGTTTGTTTGTGCTCATTGGAATCTACTTTCTGTTGTTACATCATGCTGAAGTACCACTTTTGCATTCTTTGTAGTTGATATGTTCATTCTTTCATTCAGGCTCTGTTGGATGTATATACAATAAAGAGAGAAATTGGTAGGCTAGATGGAATCAAACTTGGTTTGGTTGGAGACCTTGCCAATGGGAGAACTGTTCGTTCTCTGGCCTATTTGATCGCTAAGTACCAGAACATTAAGATATACTTCGTATCTCCAGATGTTGTAAAAATGAAGGTACTTTTATCCCCAATAATTAATATTGTCTGGCTTCTTTTCTTTTGAATTCTATTGTAGTCCGATGGAATAAATGGATTGTTGTTTGTATTTCTTCTTGTTCAAAGGATGATATCAAGGAGTACTTAACTTCACAAGGTGTTGAATGGGAAGAAAGTTCAGATTTATTGGATGTGGCATCCAGGTGTGATGTAATTTATCAAACACGCATTCAAAAAGAAAGATTCGGAGAGAGGATCGATCACTATGAGGCTGCTCGTGGGAAATATATTGTGGATAAGAAGGTTTTAGGTGTGCTACCAAAGCATGCTGTTATCATGCATCCCCTTCCAAGGCTGGATGAGGTTAGCAGTTATCCTTTCACATACATTGCAGAAATGATTGTTTATTATTATGAGTGTCACCTTATGTTGCATCTCAATCCCGTTGTGTCACTGGGGAGTTTTTGATTGTCAAAGGCTTAATCCGATATTTAACGAGTCTTTGAATTGGGGTGCTGAAGTAATCTGTTATGTCTAATTAGTACTCTCTCTGTTCACAAATATGAGATGTTTTGGATATTTCAATATGGACTACATAGGGACTGAAATGACTGAACAAACACAGTAAAACATGTCTATAAACATCTGACTCAGAAAAAAGTTAGAACATCTTATATTTGTTAACGAAGGTAGTTACCATGCCAAATGATATGGCTTGGTGTAGTATACTGGTCAATTTAGTTATGACCAATCCATTCCGAGCTCGGGAATTGGTTAGCCAAAAGCAGTTCTTGATGTTAAGTAAGTAGCAACTTGTATTCCCATGTGACCATAGGTATATTATACACGTATGGGTGAGGGAAATAATCAGAAAGCCGCTTATACTATGCCAAATGATATGGCTTGGTGTACAACAACAACAACAACAACAACAACAACACCACCACCACCAACAAAGCCTTTAGTCCCAAACAAGTTGGGGTAGGCTAGAGGTGAAACCCATAAGATCTCGCGACCAACTCATGGATCTGGCACATGGATAGCAAGCTTCCACGCACCCCTGTCCATAGCTAGTTCTTTGTGATACTCCAATCCTTCAGGTCTCTCTTAACGGATTCCTCCCATGTCAAATTCGGTCTACCCCGACCTCTCTTGACATTCTCCGCACGCTTTAGCCGTCCGCTATGCACTGGAGCTTCTGGAGGCCTGCGCTAAATATGCCCAAACCATCTCAGACGATGTTGGACAAGCTTCTCTTCAATTGGTGCTACCCAAACTCTATCTCGTATATCATCATTCCGGACTCTATCCTTCCTCGTGTGGCCACACATCCATCTCAACATACGCATTTCCGCCACACCTAACTGTTGAACATGTCGCCTTTTAGTCGGCCAACACTCAGCGCCATACAACATTGCGGGTCGAATAGCCGTCCTGTAGAACTTGCCTTTTAGCTTTTGTGGCACTCTCTTGTCACAGAGAATGCCAGAAGCTTGGCGCCACTTCATCCATCCGGCTTTGATTCGATGGTTCACATCTTCATCAATACCCCCATCCTCCTGCAGCATTGACCCCAAATATCGAAAGGTGTCCTTCTGAGGTACCACCTGCCCATCAAGGCTAACCTCCTCCTCACACCTAGGAGTATTGAAACCGCACATCATGTACTCGGTTTTAGTTCTACTAAGCCTAAACCCTTCCGATTCCAAGGTTTGTCTCCATAACTCTAACTTCCTATTTACCCCCGTTCGACTATCGTCAACTAGCACCACATCATTCGCAAAGAGCATACACCATGGGATATCTCCTTGTATATCCCTTGTGACCTCATCCATCACCAAGGCAAAAAGATAAGGGCTCAAAGCTGACCCCTAATGCAGTCCTATCTTAATCGGGAAGTCATCAGTGTTGACATCACTTGTTCGAACACTTGTCACAACATTATCGTACATGTCCTTGATGAGGGTAATGTACTTTGCTGGGGCTTTGTGTTTCTCCAAGGCCCACCACATGACATTCCACGGTATCTTATCATAGGCCTTCTCCAAGTCAATGAACACCATATGCAAGTCCTTCTTTTGCTCCCTGTATCTCTCCATAAGTTGTCGTACCAAGAAAATGGCTTCCATGGTCGACCTCCTAGGCATGAGACCAAACTGATTTTTGGTCACGCTTGTCATTCTTCTTAAGCGGTGCTCAATGACTCTCTCCCATAGCTTCATTGTATGGCTCATCGGCTTAATTCCACGGTAGTTAATACAACTCTGAACACCCCCCTTATTCTTGAAGATTGGTACTAATATACTCCGTCTCCATTCTTCTGGCATCTTGTTTGCCTGGAAAATGAGGTTGAAAAGCTTGGTTAGCAATACTATCGCTATGCCCCGAGGCCTTTCCACACCTCAATGGGGATACAATGAGGGCCCATCGCCTTGCTTCCTTTCATCCTTTTTAAAGCCTCCTTGATCTCAGACTCCTGGATTCGCCGCACAAAACGCATGCTGGTCTCATCAAAGGAGTCGTCCAGTTCAATGGTAGAACTCTCATTCTCCCCATTGAACAGCTTGTCGAAGTACTCCCGCCATCTTATGCTTAATCTCCTCGTCCTTCACCAAGAGTTGGTCTGCTCCGTCCTTGATGCATTTGACTTGGCCAATATCCCTCGTCTTCCTCTCTCGGATCTTGGCCATCTTATAGATGTCCCTTTCGCCTTCCTTCGTGCCTAACCGTTGGTAGAGGTCCTCATATGCCCGACCCCTTGCTTCACTGACAGCTCGCTTTGCGGCCTTCTTCGCCATCTTGTACTTCTCTATGTTGTCCGCACTCCTATTCAGGTATAGGCGTCTGAAGCAATCTTTCTTCTCTTTAATCGCCTTCGGGACGTCATCATTCCACCGCCAGGTATCCTTATCTTCACATCTCCTTCCCCTGGACACTCCAAACTCCTGAGAGGCCACCTTACGAATGCAAGTCGCCATCTTCATCCACACATTGTCCGCATCCCCTCCTTCCTCCCAAGGGCCCTCCTTAATGACCCTCTCCTTGAACGCCTGAGCTACCTCTCCCTTGAGCTTCCACTACTTCGTTCTAGCGACTTTGACACGCTTATCCCGCTGGACACGAATCCGAAAGCGGAAGTCAGCAACCACCAGCTTATGCTGAGGTACAACACTCTTTGCAGGTATCACCTTACAGTCTAGGCACGCACGCCTATCTTCTCTTCTCGAGAGGATGAAATCAATCTGGCTAGAGTGTTGGCCACTACTAAAAGTCACCAGATGCGATTCTCTCTTTCTAAAGAGGGTGTTAGCTACAATCATGTCGTAGGCTAGAGCAAAGCTTAAGACGTCTTCTCCTTCTTGATTCCTGATGCCATAGCCAAAGCCCCCATGCGCCCCTTCAAAACCTGTGTTAGATGTACCCACGTGGCCATTGAGGTCTCCTCCTATGAAGAGCTTCTCGCCAATCGGTACACTCCTAACCATGTCTTCCAGGCCTTCCCAGAACTCCCTCTTGGTGTTCTCATTGTGGCCTACCTGCGGGGCATACGCGCTAATAACATTGAGAACTAAGTCCCCAACTACCAGCTTGACCAGGATAATCTGATCCCCACGTCTCTTGACGTCTACCATTCCGTACTTGAGGCTCTTGTTGATCAAGATGCCTACGCCATTTCTGTTTGCAGCAGTCCCCGTGTATCACAGCTTGAAGCCGGTATCCTTCGCCTTCTGTCCTCTCCATTTGGTTTCTTGGACGCAAAGGATATCAACACCTCTCCTCACCGCTGCATCATCTAGCTCCCGAAGCTTCCCTATCAGAGACCCTACGTTCCAGCTACCTAAGCGAATCCTCCTAGGCTCGGCTAGTTTCCTTACCCTTCGCACTCGTCGAGTCAAATGCGAAGACCCTTGCTCATTTTCCACTACATCCGGGCACCGATGTAGCGCGCCACTAAGGATGCGACGACCCGATCCTTGCTCACTTGCCACCGTATCCGGATCAAGATACGATGCGCCACCAGGGGGGTGACGGCCCGGCCCTTGCCCATTTGCCACCACACCCGGGTTTCGATGTGGCGCGTCGCTGAGAGGGTTACGCCCAACAAAAATCTTTTGGGTTTCATCTCCATAAGAGTGGCTGAGTTTTTTCGTTGGCTCGCCAAGCCTATCACAATCCTCCTCCTTTACCCGGGCTTGGGACCGGCTATGTTGAGACAACACAGGCGGAGTTGGCAGATAAATATTATAATGAGTTCTCCTTCAGTATGGAGTATACTGGTCCATTTTTTTGTGACGAATCCATTCTGAGCTCAGGAATTGGTTAGCCAAAAGCAGTTCTTGGTGTTAAGGAAGTAGCAACTTGTATTCCCATGGGCCCATAGGTATATTATACACGTATGGTTGAGGGAAATATGCAGAAAGCCTTTTATACTATGGGGAAAATACAAATGTTGTACATGGCTATAAATATAAGCACCCCTGTCAACCTCATGGTGGATCAACAACATCGAGTTCCAAGAGATAGAAGCCGTACTGTACCAATTTTAAGGGGGGGGTCTTGGAAAGTTGTTGAGCTGTGATGTTTCCACATCCGAGCAGCAACATGTACTAATTACCTAACAATGTGAAAATTATCTTTTCATGATAATCACCTATGATTTCCTTCATTTCTATGAAGGAATCAATGTTCGTGGCAGTTGACATGTTATTTCTTGGTTGCTTGGGTATTGTATCATAGTGATAGATGGGTTTAATTGGTTCCTAGCTCGTGTCAAATTGGAATGTGCGGGATTCAATGTTTGTTGTTTTGCAGATCACAGTAGATGTTGATAGTGATCCAAGGGCTGCATATTTTAGGCAGGCTAAGAATGGCCTCTACATAAGGATGGCACTGCTCAAACTTCTGCTTGTTGGCCATTGACATTATTTTTCCTGGTGCGTGAGCTTTGTGATGTCAAAGGATCAGAAATGTAGTCTTAATCGTTGGCTCCCAAGTTCAACTGTTTGGTGCTGTGCAAGGTATAAGAAAGTTGGATCCTTGCAAGAATAAAGCAATGATTGTATGATAAATGCTCCATAGGAATATTCTCTGTTATTATGTGGAACATCCTTTTCCCCAGGATGGAATGCAATGTTGGAAAAGAAACTTCTATTTTACCTAGGAAATTCACTTGCTGATTATGGTCCAGTACAAAAAGGCAGCCATGTTTGCTTCTTCATTTGCTGCTGGACACTCTGCTGTTTTGGCTTGCTGAAGCTTGGCAGCTTTTACCTCAAGTTGCTTTTGCTTCTGGCTGCATGGTTCAAGTCTACTTCTCACAAACAAGTTTGCGACAACTATTTGAGTTACTCTTTGTTAGAAATATATCACTCACCTTTCAGAATTCACATGTTCAAAGTTTGCAAACTTCCAAAATGTTGAACTTCCATAATTTGGGAACCTGAGAACCGTCCTGGGTCTTTTTTGTACCCCATACCTCTTAG